TATTCATCAAATATCGAGTTTTATCTACAAGATGTAATGTGACACAGTTTAGGTCATATTTTGCCAAAAGAACAATAAAATTCTATAGTTTCAAGTCCCGAATAAGTGTAGAAAATACACTTATCAGGGGACTCTGATGATTTACGAAGCATTCATAGTAAAGAGAAGGGCGATACAACTTCAAGAAGTATGGCTTTTAATGATGCTTTCAATGTAAGGATATATATGGAGGATCCAGTGTTTACAAAAGGTAACTGTAATGTATTCTTTATTTCAATTTAGACCTATTCTTTACTTTAGCTTATGGAGGTCTGATATGTTTTAATTTTTTTGATTGTGCAAGCTTGGTATTTGAGTCAAAGGGCATAACAAAGGTTGCAATCAATGCATATTCAGTTAGAAGCAATAGGGAGATTAAATATAGAAATGATGATGCTTACAGATTAAGAGTAAAGGGTAAGGAGGATTGTCCATGGGTGTTGTATGCTATCAATGCGCATAATAAGGCAAGTTTTGTGATCAAAACTTTTACAGAAGAGCATACTTGCCCTATGGTGTATAAGAACATCAGAGTGAGCTCAACTTATCTAGCAAATAGGTATTTATTTGACTGGAGGGCAGAACCAAACATGTCAGTTAGTACATTCATGGAGGGGATTAAAAGAGATAGTTTGGGTGACATCTCACCTTGGCAAGTGTATAAAACAAATGAGAAGTCACTTGAAAAAATTAGAGGGGGTGTGGTGGACCATTACAAAGTATCGTAAGATTACTGTGAGTAGTTGAATATGACAAATATTGGGACCACTACTTCGATTGAAGGTTATGTTGGAGAATTCAAATGACTTTATATTTGCCTTGAAGCATTCATGGATGGTTTCACTAGGGACTGCAAAAGGGTGATTGGGTTAGATGATTGTTTTCTGAAGACAGAGCAGGTGGGCCGTTGTTAACTGCAATTGGTTTGGACACTAATAATGGTATGTATCTGATTGTGTATGTAGTAGTTAAGGTTGAGAATGGTGATAACTAGAGATGTTTTGGGCTTTGTTGAAGGATAATTTGCATATACACAACATCCAGCATTGGACATTCATTTTCGACAAGCAAAAAGGGTTGATTAATGTAATTGAGACATTGTTTGAGAATTTGAAGCACATAACAAGTGTTAGACATCTATACAACAATATCAGTGTCTCTCACAAGTGATTGGCTTTGAAGAATTGTCTGTGCGATGCAGCTAAAGCCAATAATGCACCACAGTGGCTTGAACACATGCAACAGATGTTGGACTTGGACTCAACTGCATATGGATGGCCTGAACCAAAACCAACATCTCACTGGAATAAAGCCCACTTCAAAGAGAGGAATCAGTGTGACACGCTTATGAATAATTTATGTGAATCATTCAATAGAACAATTGTCATGCAAGAGAAAAGCCTTGATCATGCTAGAGAAGATTAGGGTATATTTGATAAAGAGAATTGTAGTCATAGGGAGTTATATGATCGGTGGACATTAGTAGAAGGCCTTAGAATTCAAAAGATTTTGGACAAGAACAGTAGACTTGTAAGGGTGGAGTGGATTGAATATGTAGGTAATGAAAACTTTCAAGTTCGACACAATGCATGCATTATACTCCATGTGTGTGGACTTAAGGGTAAGAAGTTGTACATGTTGTGCTTAGCAATTATCAGGAGTTCCTTATTGCCATGTGATTGCATCAGTTATATCTAGAGGCCATAATGTAATGAATTTCGTATATGACATCTACAAAAGGAGACATATCTCATGGCATATACGCCACCAATTTTTCCTATTACAAGTCCAAACTCAAGACCTGAATCAGGTCTTAAACCTCTCAATCCACCAGTGTACACAAAAATGGCTGGGGGCCAAAGAAGAACATAAAAAAAAAACCAAATGAGATGGCTTCTTCAAGTCAGGCGAAGAGGTCTAGAAAGTCTTTGCGCAGTGTAAATACTTCAGAGACAACTACAAGAGCCACATCAGGTCCAGGGAAAAGAGCATGGTTGATAATGACATGTAGGAAATATGGTGAACCAGGACACAATATGAGGAGTTGTAAAGGGGGCACCACTACCAGCACAGAATTAGGGACATTCTTTAACTTTTGTAAATTTTTTTTTTTTTTGGTTCAATTACTGGACATGAAGTGCAGTGAAGGTGTGACTAAAAGTTGGATATGTTTTTTTGATGTTTTTGAACAATTGGACAGAATTTAGCACCTTAAGAATTCATTTTTTGGCTGTACAGTGCATATGGTTGAGATTTGAAAAGCAAAGTTGGTTTTGAATTGATATGGTTGCTGAGTTTTGTTGTTGCGATTTTGGTTAGCAATTAAATTTCATATCTGACTTGCTATCTAAAATGTTGTCTAAGTTGTGTTTGAATTGCCGTGTTTAAAAAGTCTCAGTTGTTGTGTATAAACAAGTTGCACACAAAAGAAAACATAGATCTAATATGCCAAACTCAAAATAGGTAAGGACGATTTTCACAATGTTTTACAAAGGTAGAGACATTTTACGCAAATTATTTTAAAGGTAATGATGTTTTACGTAGAGTATTTTGAAAGATGGGGATGTTACACACAAAACCTATTAATAAGTAGGGATGATTAACACATTTTATTTCATGCTAAAAAAGAAAAGAACGTGTCCAATTCATAGTCACCATTTGAAATTTGATGGGCCATTCATAATTGAAATCTGATAGGTTATTTACAGCATCAAATATACCATTGTCCTTCTCATTGTACTCTTTAGTTACATCCTTAATAAGCACAAACTAGGGATGGACGTCTCCAGATCATCAACCACATATTCAATTTCTTCATTTACTGATGCTACCAAAAACTCGTACCGAACGAACTCGAACTAGATGATTGAACTCCGCATGGTCTGATCTTCAATACTTGAAACAAAGGCGTCAAGGTGTGTCATCGTCGCCCCCTCTGATACTTAAGTCAGAAAGAGAAATTGTGCTAAAGGTCATATGCTGGAATATTATATAGAACGTACCTGAATAATGAGGTTAGGCTATGTATGTATAGGCGTTGGAGATGGAGTCCTAAACGGATCCAACTTCCCATAGTCTTATTCTTGTTATACAAGGTTTTTGTGTTATGTTAGAAGTACACGGTATGAGTTAGAGTCAAATTTCTAATAAGTTTGGAGTTTGTATTTGGATAAGAAAGGTGGGGAGTTATAGTTAAAATAGGATTATGGCTTCTAGAAGATGTGAAATAAGGTCAATGAGACTGGGCGAAATAGCTTGAAGCCCAACCTCAGCACAAAACCAGAGCTTGGAACCAGTGTAATTGGAACTTGCCAAGTTCAGGCCCTATGTTCGAGCTCAAGCTCTATATATTGTGAAGCATCATTTACCATTCCAAATTTTGAGTAATTTACCATCACAACAGTCATTGTTTTTCGCAGGTGAAATATAATATTACTTAAATCATTTATTTTTTATTTAATGGAATAATTTTATAAATTATTTTCGTATTAACGTTACTGTTATTCATGGAAGAAATTTTTTAAAGGTGTGAAGAATGGGATAATTTGCTAAGCCTCCATTTGGTGCCCATTTTTACACTTCAAATGCATTCTTTTGTCTTGTCAAGCACATTTGCTACAGTGAAAAGGTAATCATTTGATGTTGAAATATTTCCACTTTCCCAATTTTGCCTTTCCAACTGTGAACTTAATTCACAATACATGATACATAATCAACTGCATTATAGTTCCACCACCTTGTACGTTTCACGTAAAATACGATTTTCACGCTTCAGGTATCGTGCATATTTTTTACAGGATGTATATTGCCAATTTTTTGGATTCAATTATTCATTGATTCCACCTGTACAATTCGAAATTATTAAATTCAACAGATACATCGAAATATATTCCCACGTTCGTACAACAATAGATATTTGCGAAATGTCACGTTTCGTACAAAATGTGAAGATCACTGTTGATGTGCCATATAATCGCGAAATTGGTCCCACTCACTTCGCTGCATTTCCGGTGCGTTCATTTCTGTGTGAATTTCGTCTTCGACGTTAGGTAGGTCCACCTTAAACAGGTCATCATCTGTTTCTACTCTAACAAATGCCTCGTCCACAACTCCAGAACGACGTAAAAAATTATGAATGTCCATCGTTACAACAACAACAACTTGGGTTCGAAACGAATAGCTAGGCACACGATCAAGTATTTGCCATCTTTTTTTCACACACCAAACACTTGTTCTATGGCATTTCTGCAGGACGAGTGTCTGTAGTTAAACCTCTCACGAGCATTCCAAAATCGACAATGACGATCGGATCCATCATTGCAGAACTCTTGAAAATGATACAATATATCTTATCCTTTGTAAGGGGTCATGTAGCCCGGTCGATGAGCAAACCCGGAGTCAACCAAATAATACTTACGCGGCACGGGTAATGGAAAATGAATTTCAGGACTGTGTATAGTAGGAGCTAGTATTCGCTCGTCGTGCGTATTCTTGGTGGTACCAACAAGCACAAATGTGAAATACAAATTGAACTTGCATGCGGCCAACGTATTTTGCGTCGGCACTCCTTTGCGACCTATAAAATTCACCCACTTGTTACGCGGTAGCACAGCTTTCACATGCATTCCATCAATAGCACCAATGCAGTCTTGAAACAAAGGATGCTTAGTCTGGTATGGCTTGTAGGGGGCCTCACCCTTGTTGTAGTTTAGTCTTGGTTTGTATGAGATGTGCCGATAAGGCGACGGTAGTATTGAGTACCTCTTTAAAATAATGGCATATTGTTTACAACGAATGATTGAAAATAGTCATTACCTGACGGCATCCTTTTCCATTCGTTAATATACACAAGAACATTTCAAATTTGTCGTAGATATCAACCTGTTGGCTACTGTGTAAGCCATATTCGTCACGCAGAATGTGCAAAATGTCGCAGTAGTTGTGGGTACATTCGGAACTCTTGATAACACATCATGCCGTTATCTTCCATTGCTTCCTTCATGAACATGTGGCCATTTTTTAAGACGAAAATCATCAGATACGTCTTCGTTGTTTGAGATAGTAGTAACTGGCATCGTTTACTGCAATTTGACAATATGTAACCCATGTCTTGACGTCTTCCGCTAGTTGGCTAAGAAACTCCTCATCATCGACTTCTTCTTCGTCATTGGAGCCCGATAGAAGCGCACAATTGAAGTTGAGATCATCCATTGTAAGAAATTGAAGAACACCAAATTTTGCAATATTACAAAAATTTCTACACAGCAAAGGAAAAAGTCACCACTCATGTGTTTAACCAATGGAGTTATATAAGAGTAAAGAATCCTTCCACGTGTTTCGTTTGAGTGACATTCAAATAATTGTACGATAGGGTTTGAAAAAAAAAAAGATGCGTGTACTTTTTGAGCATGTGACATTTTTTTGTTGCTGTTAAAACGTGGTTCTCAAAAAAAAAAGTTGTACGTAAGAGTTGTCAATCATGCCCGCACTATTTTTCACCAAAAAAAAAAAATTAAACATTTCAAAAGAAACCTCAATAAATTAAAACCCATGCTTGACAAAACATAATGTTGTATACGAAAGGTAAAGACACAATATCAACTGTAATTATCCACAAGAAGTACATCAAAATAATAAAAAAATAAAACAAGTATGATAGAATTGGTTGATGCAGAAATTAACGGAGAGACTTATTACGCTTGTTAAACTGCCACTCAATCCACTCAAGCTTCTCATCTGCGTTCTGCATGACGTCGAGCATATCTCAGTAGTGCTTTTATGCCAGAAGTGTACAGGCGAAGAATTACATGGGTGTACGTCGCTCGAGCCTTCCTGCTGTAAGCAATTCTTCAACTCAGGCAACTCCTGCATTTTTACTCGGGGCCATGATGGTGTTAATCTTCGTCGCCACTTTCTCGAAGACATTATTAGCCCGATCAACTAAAATCAACAACTCCCGAGCAGAAACCTTTTTCTTCATCCCTTTTTGCCTGCTCGATGCTGACTTCCTCTTTTCGTCGCTTCTGGCATTCGAAATGTGCATGCTTGAAGTATTTTTTTGTTCGTCGCCCTCATCGCTTGAATCAGTACTCTCCTCGTCAACATGGATTGCATCCCTTTGGTCTTCGACAACACTGTCCTCAAACAAACTGAAGCACGTACAACGTGACTTGGTAGAGGTGACTGTGTACTTGTCATCGTCATAGCTACCACCGAAAAGTTGACGATATCAGATATAGATTTCACTGACGCCTTTGTCCTTGAAGTCCTTGTACTCCTTATTCTTCTGCAATTGCTTTAGCACATTTGATCAAAGTAACGTGACGCGGATATCGTAATGTACTTTGAAGCATTGCTCAAGGTATGGAAAAAAGCTTTGAACACGAAAAATCAATATGTGTGGCGACTTTCATTCAAGAAATTTTTTGACAAAACATGACGCTAGATGACTGATAAGTGTAACAGAGGAGGTTATGTAAAAAAATTTTGATCACTGTTTGTAGGTCCTGCAATCAAATTCTACTGCTAAATAATCAACCACGAAAATGTTATAAAAAAAACATACGACAAGGAGTAGCAGCCAAGGTTCAAAATCCACCCGAGAATTGAATGGGTCCATGCCTTCTGTGTAGCGGTTGAAGTGGCGGAGGCGGCGCTACTACAGTTGGACTGCCCAATTTTATGGTGGGGAAGCCGGTTTATTTCCGGTTATCTGTGCAGTGGATGCACCAAATCGGCTGAACCTTGAAAAAGTCATCGGAATACAGTAGCTGGGTTTGTAGAAATGGATTAGCTTTCAATTGCAACTGTTACGTGAGGGAAAGTGAGAGAAAAATCATTTTGAAGGGAAAAATCTTGGCAATTGGTTTGCGTTAAGGGTAAATTCGGCCACTTCCTCTGCTATTTCACTGTTTGCACTGTGAAAATGTACTGCGATGTCTGGATATGCTGTTCCAACGTTCATATTTTGTCTACATTTTCAGGTTACAATGTGGTCCAAACAGGGGCTAAATCCTTAGTATTTATTTTCCAAAAATATATGGTTCCTAGCCCTCAATATCGGGGCAAAGACCCATTTGAACCAACCCAGCTCATTCAAGACGAACCGGGTCCCGAACTGGCTAGTATAACGTGGCTCAATCCTGACCGTCGCTTAAACTGTCACCATCCGTCGGATATAGGTCACGCTGTTAGGTTTTAATTCTTCAAGGACCTACTATTACTTTTAGCAGTAACGAGCATCTAGAGTAGAGAGAGAGGTCCCGAAGATGGTGCAGCGCCTCACTTACCGGAAACGACATAGCTATGCCACAAAATCCAACCAACACCGGATCGTCAAAACTCCCGGTATCCATATGTCGTACACAAACAAACATCTATATATATATACTTCTATATAGACACGTTTTTGTATGTTTGTAATCAGTTTTTCTAATGTTTAGAGTTATTTGGTATATTTATTTATCTGTAAATGAGCATATAGGTGGGAAGTTGGTATATCAGAGCACCAAGAAGAGGGCAAGTGGGCCCAAATGCCCCGTTACTGGAAAGAGAATTCAAGGGGTAATGCAGTTGATTTGTACTGCTTGATATTGTATATGCAAATGTTAATTCCGTGACAAGTGAATTCTGAAAGGGTTTTGGATTATCTGACTTTTTTGGTTTTATGAATGTTCTGGTGTCTTTAGGGATTTATGTTCATTTAAATGCATTAGGTGTTTATTTTGATTTCTGCTATAGTTTCAGTAGCTTTAGCTGGAAATTATATGCGTTGTGGGTTCAAGTTTGGAATTAGAGTCTGAAAATACGATTCATTTAGCCTTCCTCGATTCTGGAATAAATATGTGATAAGGTTGTGTTGAATTGATTTTGGTTGGAAATTTGAAGAGCAAAGAAAATAAGATGTCAACTGTGGCTACTATAGCACATCGTGGAATTTGCACATGTAAGCTAACTTTTGGAGTAGTAACTATGTTTAAAGTTTTGGATTGACTCGTGGTGAAGCTTTGGCCTGATTTTGTTAATAGTAATTTTGACTTTGACTCTGATTCGATGATACAAATCTTTGTGTATGAATAAGGAATTAGAAATTTCAAACAGTTAAAAGAATTAATGTCAACTTGAAATTATTGTTTACATAGTCCAGTGTTTTTTTTTAGTAAGTATGCAAGTGAATCATCAAAGGGTCTGAAGTAGCTGAAATGACTTGCCAAAGAGTTTTTGTGACAATTGTGGAGCTTTAATACCATGTTATAGATTGTAGAATCTAATATATGGAGCTGTGTCCTGAAATACATATATATTTTTGAACCAGCTTATAAACTATGCATATCATATGGTTCACTTTTTTGGTAGATATGGCACGTTAAGAATTTGTTTTCAGTCATTTAGCTTATTAATCTGTTAAGCATTAGGAGACATACTGATGAGGCACAGCAAGTTCTAATTATTATGACCCTTGCAGTTACCAGAAAACAAAAAATAGTGAAGAGTTTCTTGTTGGCATCGATTTATATTTTTGTGAGTGATTGTCATGGTGATTTCTTTCAATGAAAAGTTTATGCGTAAACTTTATATTGCCCCCTGATTGTACTGAGACATAACAATGTTGTCTGGTTATGGGTTGGAAGTGGATTGGGTGGCTATGTATTTTTGTTAAGTCATTCTTGTAAGGTTTGATATTACAAATCTTATCCATATTTATCAATGAGTTCCCTTAGTCAACTTTCAATATTCAAAATTAATAGAAAAACTTTGCTCAAAGTTAATTGTAAGTTCAATTTTCAATTGTTTGATACTTGTTAAGCATTTGGAATAAAATTGATTTTAACATTTATATTGACTTGTACATTTGTTTGATGTCCTTATTTTTAATTATGCATTCTGTATCACGTATTGTTCCTAGGCAATGTCCGATTGTTGCTCCACTAGAATTATGATTGTTCAGGATATTCCTCTTGATGTGAGAATTTTTGATGATTTTCAGTCACTGCTACATTCTTGAAGCGTCTGATTTGAAGTGAATCTCTCTTATATTTTATTTCATAGTATAAAATCATGAAAGTATTGATTTAGCTTACCTGTAGGAGGTTTGTTTTTATGCCAACAAAATGTTGTACAACTGTTTGTTACATTTGCATATTTGTATGATAGAAGATCTAGACATGGCAAATGAATATGAAGGAATTCGTAAAACTGAATTTTGATTTGAAGGAAAGAAAAGGGTAATTGATACACACACAACTTGTAATGAAAATGCTATTGCTCTTTTGCAGATTCTTCACTTGAGACCTGCTGAATATAAGAGGTCCAGATTATCTAGGAATAGGAGGACCGTGAACCGTGCCTATGGTGGTGTATTGTCTGGTGGTGCTGTGAGAGAGAGGTTGGTTCACAACCCTCTTCTGCATACAGGAGTTAATGAATTATTTTTTTCCCCCCGCTGTTCAACTGAGGCCAAATTTCTCTTAATTTCTTTTTTTGTTCTCAGGATTATTCGAGCGTTCCTAGTCGAAGAGCAAAAGATCGTGAAGAAGGTTTTGAAGATTCAAAAGGCAAAAGAAAAGCTGGCAGGGAAGAGCTAAGATTTTTTGCTATTAAGTATTCACCTAAAAAAGTTTTGACATTGAAAATGATTCGTAGTGTACTCAAATATCATTATTACTGGTATTGGTTCTACTCTTGAAATGAGTTCATTTCTTGATTAAGTCTCCATTTGCTAACACAGAACTTATGGTCATTTATAAAACAAGCATTGTTTTTGAGGGATGTATAATCTGTGCAACTTATTTTTCTCATGAATTGAAGGGTTGGGTTGTACCGAAATAGCTGGGCGTGAGCTTGACAGAAGCAACAACATAATTCAAACAAAAACTGATATTATTGTACAACAGCATAGCACTCTCAATTGGTTGGAAATTTCAAAGCTGCTTGTTTGAATTTCTGCAGAAAAGAAACCAGCATGTGGGGGTGTAATCTCTTTCACAACAGTTATTTCAATTAAATTTGTGATCCACTTGAATATCAGAGGGTATTTATCAGGGTCAATAATCTTAACACCAAGTTTCTCTTCTTCTGCTCTAGAGGCACCCAGTGTTTCAACCATCATTATGTCTGAGATCCAAATTCTGTCCATTGAAACGTAGGGTTCTCTCCGAAAAAAAAAGCAGCACTCTTCATTCCCTCGTCTAATACCTTCAGTTTCTCAGATAGAATTTGTATCCAATCTAAGTCTTGGTAATAGAGGTGGTTGACATTAACAAAGAAATAACTTCCTTGTTAGGTCACATCTTACTATTGATTAGAAGAACAATTGTAATGTGTTGTCTGCTATCACTGCAAATTCTATTAGCATGTGTGGCCTTTTACAAAGATATGGATGCCTTATTTGTAAATTTAACAAGGGATTCATTCATTGCTGGACATGGGCTCCCAATGAAAACATACGTCAATAAAAGCTTTTGATGAATGAAAATGAAACACGAAATTAGAATACGAGCTGTTGGACATTACTAGCTGAGAAACCAAATGTGGCCCTTTCATAAGGATCGTCAGGCAAAAGTCGAGGTTCATATATCCACTTTTCATCAATATATTCAAGAATATCGAGCGATGGTTTTCCGTGGTGAACAAGAACATGGATTTTCTTGTAAACAGGACTGTAGCAAATCACTCTTGTTGCTTAAATCTAATCTTCTACATATTCAAAGGGTATGCCTTTGATTTTGAGATCCAGTTCAACATTCTTAGGATAAGTGCAAGACCATGTACCATCTTATATTTTGATATAGATTATATGCTGGTCGATCATTTAATAGATTTATCAATAATAAGTTTTAAGTACTAGGAAAGAAGAGCAATGCTAATAATATCTATCTCCAATAAGCTTCTCAAGTTTTTGATGTGCTGATATGACCAATCACTTTGATCTTCATCTTCATCTCATTTTCCTAGTTTGATATGCAACTTTCAAAGAATCGACAACAAGAAAAATGATATTTATGTTGAAACGAGGCGATCTAATTGTAATAATTTTTGACAATCATTCAAGGAATGAGAAATTTTCGAGTTGTAACTCTAATGCTAAGACCATATATGTTTATAAAATATGTGTATAAAATATGTGTATGGAGATAACGAATGGGAATTTATGGTTTTTGAGAAAATTTAATATTAGAGTAAATTTAGCTATATCAAATAGATTGTATGAATCACGACGTGGATTACCTATAGACTTATGTTGGGTCGATCTGGCCACTAAATCTAATAGTTTATTAAGTTTTGTTTGGTTAATTTTAATAAATAAATAAAAACAAAAACAAACAATAAGCATAGACACCACGCCTAGTGTACTGATTGTCTCTCTAGACGAGCCTCTCGATTGGTAGTAGTTTCGAATCCTACTTGGGGAGATTTAACTTATAACATAATTGATCGTGAATGGTGGTAAGACAAGATAATATAATTAAATATATACCACTAGTTGTAATACTAAAATCAACACAATATTGAGCCTTTTTTTTTCTTATAAGAGAGAACTTTGGGTAATTGGCACAAAATACCCCTAACGTTGATATCTATTGTGGAATACGCTCATATCTTTTCATTTTGACGGAATACCCCTTTAGATGACCTTTTTTAATTTTTTTTATTTGCAAGATACAATATTTTCTTTCATTTTCTCAATAAAGTTTTGTAAAATGACGAATATACTCCCATCTTTATGTAAAACAAAACGAAAGGAAGAAAAAATAAAAAAATAATTGGAATCGTAATCTCAATTATTTTTAAAGAAAAGTGCAAATGAGTCCAAAATAAATAATTAAAAAATTAAATTTAAAATAAAAAATTCCGTCGTATCCCATCACCACCACCGCCCCTTCATTAATTAGGAGCAAACCTACACGAATATAAAAATAAAAATCTAAATTTGTCCATAATATATCCTGCAAAAACCTTAATTAATCAAAATCCTAAAATTAAAATGTAAAAAACATTAATTAAAAACACTATCTACAACCATATGTAACCCAACACGTAGACGGTGGAGGAATGCGACTGTAGACAAACATATTTACTGACGTTGCCAATGAAAATCCTTGCCATTATAGAATTAGTTATTCTTATGTTTGCTGTGGTGCGGCTTTGTAATTTAGTGTTTGGTTAGATAAAGGAAGTTTAAGGAGATTTAATTTGATAGTCTTACTGGATAAAGATCAAATTTTATCAAGAATTGAGAATTTGGTCTGAAAAATAATTTTGAGATGAATAAAAAAGGTTTTGGAGGCATTATTTACCGAAAGTGGGTGCCGCGGCCAGGTGGGGACCTAGAATTTTTTTTTCAGTGTGGACGATATTAGTAAAAGTAAAAAAATAAAATTATAACACAAATATTATATTAAAATAAAATACCTTACTATTGTTCTTTACAAGTTTTCATATTTTGATATTTTTGTATAATTACCTCATTATCAATCTTTATAGGCTAACAACTAACATGCATAAATTCCTTAAAAAGTACAATATTCTAACAAAAAAAAACTCCATAAAACAATCAAATTTATTATCATATGCAAGCTAAAATGAATCATCTCCATGTCAAAACCACATTCCACTAATATTAAAAAAGAGAGCACCATAAGAAATATGTATATGCTGTAACGACAAATAACCCAAATAGTGCATAAAATATTACATTTTTGAGAACATAAAAATTCATTTAATTGTTAAAATAGCACAATATTTTCATTCACATTTTTATTGAATCAATAACTGAATCGGACAAAATAAGAGGTAGAAGTAGATTACAAAAAATTATCTGGTTATCACTTGCTTCAATTGATACCCACGACTTCACTTCTTCAATTTCACCGATTTCTAATTTTCATTTCAAATGTTTCAGTTTTTTATGGAAATGTGCATGTGACAGTTGGAAATTGAAATGGATTATGGAAGGGTTCGTATTCTATAGATCAATGGCAAACACCTATCTTATAATTCGGGCCAATTATTTGGTCAATTTTCATTTTTTAAAGCTTAAGTGGGCTACTCATGAATGGGGGCAACCCAAAGTCCAGTGTAGGCAGATGCCTTCATTGGGTCCGCCCCTAGCCGCAGCGCCCATAGAAGAAAAATGGGATAGGTGCCTAGCATCGAAGCACTGAGCATTGGGTATCGAGGCGTTGTGCCCCTGTTAAAAAAAATGCCCCGGGCGCCAGGCGCTAGCCTCGGTGCCGAGGCGATGCAGGATGAAAAGCAGCATAGGGATCGAAAAGCGCAATCTCAAATACATCTGCATCTATCAAATCAAATTTTTCAGGATGTTCCAAATGAGAATAGTGTCACTGCGTCGTGTTTGAAATTTGACCAACTTTGTATGACAAAAAACTTGACCAGCTAATTATACTTGAAACAATGCTTGTATTTTCACCGGATGTCTAAAGGCGCATCATTGGATGATCACTTAACTATGTTCAAAGAAATCGTAGTTGATTTGGAGACATTGGAAATTAAGTATGATGATGAGGACTTTGTGCTGATGTTATTGTGTTTGTTGTCATCATCATATGTGACTTTTAGAGATAATATTCTCTATAGTCGAGATACTTTCACTGTGGATGAGGTCTATGACGTTTTACTGTTTAAGAAGAAGATGAGGCATCTTGCAGTAGGATTTGGGACTCGGGTTGAAAGCTGGTTGTTCGTAGGAGAAATCAAGATATGAATCTTAGTAGAAATATGTGAGGTCTATTGAAATCCAGACATGCAGAGTAAACATGTCACTTCTATAAGAAGAATGTGGATATTAGAACTGATTGCTATACTTTGAAAAATAGAAAGAAGACTGCTGGTGCTACTGATAAAGGAAAGCAATATGTAAACACAGCGGAGGCTAATGTTGTGGAAGATGGGGAAAGCGAAGAAGAGCTTCTTGTGATCTCTGTCATGGGTTCCAAACCTTGTGAGGAATGTGTTCTTGACTCAGCTTGTACTTTTCATATATGTCTCAACAAATACTGGTTTACAACATATGGAGGAGTTTCGAGAGGTGCAGTGATTATGAGAAACTACACACCTTGTAAAATTTTCGGAGTTAGTACAATCAGAATCACAATGTTCAATAGGGCTATTAGAACACTTACAGATGTAAGGCACGTTCTAGAACTGAAGCAAAATCTCAGATCTTTTAGCACACTTGACTCAAAGGGTTATAGATACATTGGTGAAGGTAGAGTTTTGAAGGTAAGCTGGGGTGTTCTTGTTGTCATGAAGGGATATAAAAGCTCTATACAATCGCACATTTTGTAGGGTTCCATAATTATAGGGGATGCAACAGTTTCTATTTCTTCTTTGACAAATGAGGAAGTTATAAAAAATTTGGCATATGTGGCTTAGGCATATGAGTGAGAATGATATGATAGATTTGAGTATGATGGAACTTTTTAATGGGCAAAAGAACAGTAAAATGAAGTTTTGTGAGCATTGTATTTTTGGGAAATAGAAAAGGGCGTGATTCTCTAAAAGAAGACGCAACACGAACAGAACACTTGAATATATCTATTCAGATATTTGGGGACCGGTTAGG